CGACCCCCCCCCCTCCCCCCCCCACACTCCCCACACTCCTCGCACTCACCCCACTCCACAGGAGCAGACCGAGCTGTATAGTGCTTGCACTACGCCTCCTCCCTCCTCCTCTCCCACACACGGACCATGTACTCTTCGCGGTACGCAGGGAGCGAGACGGTGTCGGACCATGGCCACTCGGAGCAAGTAGAGGTCGGGGGCTCTTCTTCCTCCTCCTCCTCGTCTTCTTCTCCTTCCTCCACTCGCACCTCGCCCAACGTGGCCCGCAAGAGTCGCTCCGAGTCTAACGTGTCGGGCGTGGGCGACTTGCTGGCCTCGTCGGCCTCGTCGACCTCAGCACGGGCTGACCGGGCTGACCGGGCTGACCGTGGTGACCGTGGTGACCAGGCTGGTTCTGGGCAGCAAGCCAAGTACATGTCGTCGCCCTCGGGCTCGTCGGACTGTGGTCAGGATGGTGTGCTTCTGGAAGAGGTCAAGCGCTCGCGGTCGCGGGCCGGACGGTCGTACAACGACGGTCCGCGGTCTCGCCGCTCGCGCTCCCGCCAGCCATCGAACGCTCAGCCGCCGTCCTCTGGCCCGCCGCGGGGGCGGCGGCGGCGCTCGCGCTCACTCAAGCCACAGGCGCTGACAAGCGTTGGCGCAGGGCCGTCGAGCAAGCGGGCAAAGACTTCGCGTGATTCGTCGGGCCGCTCGTCACCCACGCCTCCCGATGACAATGGGATTGGCGCTGCGTCTACACGCGGCCGAATCGTGGAAGACACAGATGCCGACGCCGGCGCCGGCCGCAGCAGCTTGGGTGTCTTGGGCGAGGGCGGAAGAGGCTCGGCCGACAGCGCCGCGGCGGATGAGCGGGCAGCGACGGCGACGCTCGCGCCCGCCGATGGCGATGGCGACGGCGACGGCGACGACGAGACCCGGTTCCCGTTTCCCAAGTGTTCAGACCCGGGGCTCCTTGTGGAAGTCCTCATCTACATGGCCTTTCTCATTGTGTTCTCGTTGGTGGTCTTCAACATGCGCGACCCGTTGTACTCGTTCCTCCACAATGACAACATGAAGGATCTGTTTCTCGACGAGGAGTTTCCGGGCATCGACGTGCTGAAGACGTTCCGCGACGTGGCGACCAAGGAAGAGTTCTGGCAGTTTTTGCATGGCCCATTCATCAATGGCTTGCTCGGCGACTTTGGCGCCGGCGAGGGTGTCATCTACGGCGTCAACTGGCTCGTCGGCTCGGCGCGGATGCGGCAAGTCCGTGTCAAGCCCGCGCTGTGCGACGTTCACGCCGACTTTTTCCCGCTCATCACCCAGTGCTACGGCCGGTACGCGATCGGCGAGGAGGACCGCGAGCCGTACGGGCCCGGCGACGCATGGACATACCGCTCGTGCGGCGAGCTCGGTTCGGTCTGCAAGCAGTACGCGCGTCTGCGGCGGTACGACGGCGGCGGATATACGCAGGACTTTGGCGCTGGCACTCTAGCGACCGAGTCAGCTCGGCTGGCGGCGCTTGAGGCCGACAACTGGGTCGACTTGCAGACGCGGGCCGTCTTTATTGACTTTACCACCTACAACCCGACGGTCAACTTGTTTCTGGTGGCGCAGCTCCAGTTTGAGTTTATGCCCTCTGGCGGCGTGTATCCCGACTTTAAGTTCCGGGTCCTCCGCCTCTATCGGTACGAGGGCACCAACGGGACGCTGCAGCTTGTGGGCGAGCTCGCGATTGCCATCTTTGTCTGTCTGTTCTTCCTTGAGGAGCTGGTGCAGATGTGCGTGTCGTGTCTCCGCTCGCGGCGGGTCCGGGCGCTGCGGGCGCAGGGCATTCTGGTAGAGTCGCGCCAGACGCCGTACTTTCGCGACGCGTGGAACTACGTGGACCACCTCAACATTGTCTTCTTCCTCGTCGTCTTTTACTGCCGGTACAAGGTCGACGCGAACTTTGACGCGCTCAACTTGGTGCCGTCGGACCGGTCGACCTATTTTGACTTTACGCGGCCGGTCATGTGGGACGCGGCCGAGAAGTCGCTTCTTGCTTGTAACGCCTTCCTCCTCTGGTTCAAAGTCTTCAAGTTTGCCGTCTTTGCGCCGCGAATGGGCATGATTGCCAAGGTTGTGGGCAAGGCCTTTCTCCCGCTCTTTTTCTTCATCTTTATGTTCATGTTTGTCCTCTTTGGCTTTGCCCAGGCTGGCGCGCTCGCCTTTGGCTCGGACGTCGAGGGCTACGATACGCTCGGGACAACCATCTTTACCATGCTCCTCGCCACGCTCGGCGAGTTTGACTTTGAGGGCCTTCGCCACTCCAACCGCGGCTTTGGTCCGTTCTTCTTTTTCACCTTTATCATCCTCATCTTTTTCATTGTCCTCTCCATGTTCCTCGCCATTGTCGACAACGCGTACGACGAGGTCTCGGAAGAGCTCCGGCGCTCGCAGGAGCCGTCGGTCTTTGCCAAGGCGCTCGCCTGGTTCTCGACGACCAAGGTCGGCTCGCGGATGGCGTCGTTCCTCGAGCTGCAGGATAAGCTGACCGAGATTCGCCGGGCCATCGAGATCGGCGACCTCAACCACGACGGCAAGATCTCGAAGAAGGAACTGCAGATCATCATGGACTCGAAGCGCGAGTACTTTGAGGGCACTGCCGCCGACCTGATGGAGCGCTATGACGTCGACAACGACAACATGCTCTCCGAGGCCGAGCGCGCCCGGTTCTATGCCGACATGGAGCGCGAGCAGACGGCCATCGCTTCTAAGATCGTCTCGCTCCGCGAGGCCAACTCGGAAGAGTTTACCCTCCTCTTTGACCTTCTCTCCGACCGCATCTCCACCGTAGAGTCGCGCCTGGCTGTCCAGCTGGCCCTGCTGGAGGCGCGGGTCAAGGAGGAGGCCCAGCGGCTCGGCCGTGCCCGTCTCGGCTCCAGCCGCCCGTAGCGGATCACCCAACTCTGATGACAAGCCGCTGCAGCAGCTCGGGCGTGACTGCTCGCTCATACGCCGCAAGCAGTCGCAGCCCGCGATTGTTGATGGGAGTTTGCTCCAGGAGCTCGCCGAGTGTGGTCACGACAAAGCCAAACTTGACTCGCATGCCCGGGTCCGGCGTCCATGGCGCCGGCGGGAGCTCACCGGCATCGCCAACCTGGATGTCCGGAAGTGAGAGCCGGGTGCCAGCGTTGCCGGCCCACAGCCGCCACTCGCCGGCGAGCGAGCCAACGCCGACGAGCACGGCCTGAAACATGAGGCTCAGCGCCCGCTCAGCAGTCATGCTCGCCAGCGCGTTGCTGCGGGTTATGCCGAGCCCATGCGCGGCCGTGACCGTCGCCTTCAGCGCGGCGGCGGCGGCGGCGTCGTCGACGCCGGCCACCGCGGCCAGCGCCGTGAGACAGAGCTCGTCGAGCGGATCCGGCGGCGCCAGTCGCATCCACCCGTCCAGGCGTGGGAGAAGTGGCTCGCTCGGGTGCCAGGTGAGCGTGACCGGGCAGAGGAACTCGGTCGGCTGGTAGCCCATCTTGTATGCCATCCGCTCGTTGCCGGGCACATAGTACACCATGTAGTAGTAGCTTGCCACGTCCGGGTGGCCTACCACCCACTCGATCTCCTGCAGCACCGAGTACACGCCGAGCTTGAGAAAGGCAAGATCCGGGTCGTACATGCAGTAGTTGGAGACGAGCGCGCCGGGCACGATGTCAACCGCGCACACCATTACTAGTGCATTGTCGATGTAGTACCGGTAGTGCCAGGCGCCGTAGTGGTGAGCTACGCCGTCGGTCGCGTCGTCGGTGACAAACGGGTCGTTGACAAAGGTGTTCCGGAACTTGGACGGCGTCACCTCCGTGTCGTTGTGGAGCGCGGCCTGGTACTTGACGTACAAGTTGTAGGTCGGCTTGTGAAAGTACGGCCTGACACGCTCGACACGCAGCGTGTGGGGCGCCGGGTTGGCACCATCGCGCGGCTCCCACTCACCGGCCAGGAATCGACGCATGCGCACCAGCACCCGCCGCTTGGAGCGCGACGGCCGGAACTCGCTCGCCAGCAGCCGGATCTGGTACTGCGGACAGCACGAGGCAGCGTTCTCGGGCCAGTAGAGCGAGAGGCCGTAGCGCGAGAAGCCACGATCGATGAGGAGCGCGTAGTCCTCCGGCCGCAGCGCGAGGGCCAGGAAGACACAGTACGTCCGGCACGACTCGCCCTTGCGGTGGCAGTATGCGCACTCGCTGGCGTGAAAGGTCTTGTTGCAGAGGCCAACGAGTGAGCCGCCATGCAGCGCGTTTCGAGCGTTCCACTGCCGCACCGTCTCGGCATCTGCTCGCGCGTTCGCGTCCTCGGCCGCTTCTCGAGCTGCGACCTCGACAGGCGTCTCCGGTGCAGCCTCGAGCGCAGCTGCGTTGCTCGTAGCCTGGGAGGCGGCACCGGGGTCGACTGCCAGCTGGGACAGCCGCGACATTGTCTGTTGCGTGGCCTGGTCCGCAGAGTGCTCGCTCGGCCAGGGTCCCGCTTGCCATGACGCGAGCCGGCGGCGGAGCGCAACAAGTGCGGCGTCATCGCCGTCGAGGTCGGCGACAAGCGCAAGGTGCGCCGACTCGCTGGGCGTGAGACGCGCAGACTCAGGCAAGTTGGCAAAGTAGTATACCGTGGCCGGGAGGCCAGAGTGTGGCGGCACGAGCTGGAGGGCGGCTAGCGAGTCGCGGGTGCGGAGGAGGCCATGCGGCGAGCAGGCAGCGAGTTTGGCGGCAGCCTCCAGGTGGCCGGCGTCAACGAGGCGGCCAAAGGCGGATTGGAGGAGGGCAGGCCCATTGATGCGGACGGCGAAGACGTGGCCACGGTTTGTCACAAAGGTGAATCCTGCAGCATCAGAGCTGACAGTGGTTGCAAGCAATGCGTCGTAGGTGACCCGGGTCGTGGAGAGGCACGATCCCGAGCCAAGGTCAAAGACATGGGCGTAGCCAAGCTGAGTGATGCAGACAACAGCGTTGCATGTGGACAGGGCATGGAGCGCAAGTGGAACGTCGTCGGCGGCATCGGGCGGGTGCACAAGCGGAACGGTTTGCCGGGCTACCGCGGCAGTGGTGCCGCTCTTGGCGATGTCTACCATGCTGACGACTGCGTGAGCGCCGGTACCCGCAGCGTAGACCAGAACCAACACGCCAGTCTCGTAGACAACAAAGGCGCAAGCGCGGCCGCTAACGTGTCTTGTCGGCTCACCAAACAGCGAGCAGAGCTGCACCGCGCCGCCGTCGGCGCGCACGCCGGCGACAGCCAGCCATCTCGAGTCGGGCGAGATGCAGCACGAGGTGATGGCAGCGCCGTCAAGCTCGGGGATGCGGTGAGCGACGTGGAGAGGGCTCGGCTCTGAGGCGACGTGCCAGCAGTAGACGGCCATGGTGGTGATGAGCGCCAGGGTGTTGTCATTGAGCCATGTGACAAGCTCGACGTCGTTGTCCATGACACACCTTCGGACAGCGGTGCCGAGCTTGAGATCGACGACTTTGATGCTCCGAGCCGAGCGCAGGACCAGGACACCCCCACCTGGTTTGAGCAGGGCATCGTCGACGTCTACATCCAAGATCACAACCTGGCCAGGATCCGCTATGTCGACCATGACGATCCTGGCCTCGTCCTCGACCGACTCGCGGACACAGAGATGGCTCTCCGACTCGAGCGAGACAGCCCCCGCGACCAAGGCCTCGCCGTCGATTCCCAGGTCCGACAGCTGCAGACAAAGAGAACGGTAGTGAGTCTCAGATAGTTGCTCTGTCTGCTGCTGCTGCCCACCCGGTGCAACCATCCCCTCGACCTCCTCCATCACCACCATCGACGACTGACGACCGATGACCGACGACCGTTCCTGCAGGTGGGGATAGCCATGGCGTACCTTGAGAAGCTTGTGCAGAGTGAGTGGTCTGGCACGTGTGGCAGCCATCCTGCACAGAGAAGAAGGAGACCTTGTATATTGCGCACGCGCGCGTGTGTGTGTGTGTGTGGGGGGGGGGGGGGTGCGTGTGGTGCAGGTCGTCGAGGGCAGGTGGCCTTGGTGTGGTTGGGGGGAGCTTGTGCCGGTCTTGAGGCTTCATTGATGATGCGAACGGATAACCCAAGAACAGCTTTGACAGAGCCAGACAGAACAGGTTTTGAGCACGCGCAGGAGGGGGGGGGGGGGGGGGGGGGGCTACTTCTCACCACCGATGACCACCATCACCCCCTAGTATACCTTGCCCATGATAGTAACCACATCCCCAACCTTTCTGATCCATCCATTCAACTCGCAAGTTGGCGAGCTGGCAGTCCTCCTAATCTTTGCACATCAATGGACGGAGCGGTGAAGCGGACGAGTGGCACCGTGGTTCATCGTCTGTTCCACATCAGGAACATTGGCCACACCGGACGACGACGCCAGCAACCAGCCAGACGCACCAACCACCGCCACACGACTCGACCGACCACGAGCACACACATACACACATAGAGAAAGCAAGAAAGAGAGAGAGAGAGACGTACAGAGGTGCATACACATATAACTGTCATGGCTGTGGGTGCACGGAGCAGGCCATGGGTTTGGTCGCCTCGTGACGAGGCCGCCGAGCCTGAGCCGGCCTACCACGAGTACCCTGCTGGTGGTACAGGCGCTGCCGCTGTACCTGCGGAGGCTACCATATCGAGTGGAGCCAGATCACATGCTTATGCCCAGTCCCAGGGGTATGCCCCCGCCCAGTCTCAGGGGTATGCCCCCGCCCAGTCTCAGGGGTATGCCCCCGCCCAGTCTCAGGGGTATGCCCATGCCCAGTCTCAGGGGTATGCCCCCGCCCAGTCTCAGGGGTATGCCCCCGCCCAGTCTCAGGGGTATGCCCCCGCCCAGTCTCAGGGGTATGCCCACGATCAGACGCCTGGCCACGGCTACAGCTACAGCCCGTACGCCGCCACCCAGAGCCCGAGCCCGTACCCGGCGGCTAGCCCGTACGCTGCGCGGGATCCGTATGCTGCGAGCGATGGTCCGGCAGGCGGTGGCAACCCGGCGTTCCTCGGCACCGCAGCGTATGCTGGTGCCGGGGCGACGCTCGGCGCAAACCAGACGGCGGCTTCATACCACGGCTACACCCAGCAGACCCCAGCTGCTGCTCTGACCGCGAGTCCGTATGGGCAGGGATACGGCCAGGACTACGCCGGTGGCTACGGCCAGGGCTACGCCGGTGGCTACGGCCAGGGCTACGCCGGTGGCTACGACCAGGGCTACGCCCAGGGCTACGGTTACGAACCATACGGCGCAACTGGCGGTGGCGGCGCCGTGCTGGGTGCACCGACCGCCGGTGCGGCTACTGGTGCTGCCACTGTTGGCAGCTACAGCCAGGGCGCGAGTCCGCTACTGGCGTCGATGCGCGGCGGCAGCAACACCCGCCCGCGGCTCGGCGCCGACGAGCCCTCATACTCGGACTCGGACGACGAGCCAGAGCCGATGGCCCGTGGGCCTGCGCTCCACGCCGTAGCTTCCACGACCGGCTTTGACGCCAGCACTGCGAGCGCCGACAAGCTGCCGATGGCCGCCGTCTACCACTCGCCGTATGCCCCGCAGGCTGCCACAGCCCCTCCTAAGCCGACGTCGATCAAGGAGCTCATCCGCCGAAACGCAGCAGTGCAAAAGGTCGGAACGCAAAAGCGCCGCGGCCGCGCCCCCAAGGCCCGCGGCGGCAAGAAGAAGGGCAAAAAAAGGTAGCTCGTACCGCCCGTCCCAGAGAAGGCCACATCCCCCCCGTCATGCCATCAGCCGGCCAATCTGTTGCAAAGGTCGCCGCTCGTGCGCCCGAGCGAGCCAATTTGCTCTCCTTGTTGTTTTTTGGATGACGTGACACCAGGGCGTTCCCCACCAAACCCACACGTGAATTGCCAGTCGCCGCACAGAGTCAGCGCCTCACTACACACCCTCCTTTGAAGCCCCCACGCCCACAGCTCGATCACCACTTGACTCGTCCGGTTTTTTTTTGTCTAGCCTTTGTACAAGCTACTATGTCTGCTTCTGACGCCCACCCGCTCTTCCAGCCGCTGACGATCGGCCCTGTGACTCTGCCGAACCGCATTGTCCAGGCGCCTTGCACGCGTGACCGTGCCGACAATGACGACGACCGTGTGCCGACGCTGCCGCGGATGGCAGACCACTACGCCATGCGGGCCAAGCACGAGTTCGGCCTGCTCATTGCCGAGGCCACGCTGGTTTCGCGCGACGGCGCGGGCTACATCTGCACGCCGGGCATCTACTCGCCGGAGCAGATCGAGGCGTGGAAGGCCATCACGCAGGCGTGCCGCGAGGCCAACCCGCGGGTCCCGTTCTTCTGCCAGCTCTGGCACTGCGGCCGCCACTCGCACCGGCTGTTCCAGGCCGACGGCGAGCTCCCTGTGGCGCCGTCGGCCATCCCCATCGGCGGCAAAGACGAGAAGCTGGTGCCTGGATGGAAGAAGGTGCCGTACGAGGCGCCTCGCGAGGCGACACTTGAGGAGATGCGCGGCTTCCCGGCCGTCTTTGCTGCCGCCGCCCGCAACTCGATCGAGGCCGGCTTTGACGGCGTCGAGATCCACTCGGCGAACGGGTACCTGCTCGACCAGGCGCTCCGCGACGGCTCCAACCAGCGGACCGACGAGTATGGCGGCTCCATCGAGAACCGCGCTCGCCTGCTGCTCGAGACCACAGTGGCCGTCATCGAGGCCGTCGGCGACTCGAAGCGCGTCGGCGTCCGCCTCTCCCCCGCCGGCCTCAACGGCGACATGACCGACTCGAACCCTGTCGCCCTCTTCTCGTATGTCATGACCGAGCTCGACAAGCTCAACCTCGGGTACATTCACTTTAACGAGGAGAAGCCTGACGACGTCGAGTTCGACTTTGCCCACCTCGCCGGCCAGGCGCCCAACACTCCCATCATCGCCTGCTTCCGCTACGACCTCGACCGCGCCACCAAGACGCTCAAGGCCTCCGGCGGCTACGCTGACGCCATTGCATGGGGTCAGTGGCAGGTCGCCAACCCGGACCTGCCCATCCGCTTCCGCCGCGCCATCGACTCGGGTGAGGAGCCTGTCCTCAACCCCATCGACTGGCCCACGGTCTTTGCCGAGGGCGACGAGGGCTACAACACGTACCCAACCCTTGACGAGGCCACCGAGTGATGGCGAGCAGTAACACCACCATAGCACCCTCACTGACCGGTAAGCGAAGCCCATGCGACTGCAGACATGCCCGCGGGCCGCGGGCCTGCGCCTGTACCTCCGCCTGCGCCTGGCGCTGCCGACGACGACGACGACGCCGCTGCGCGCGACTCGCCTTTGCTCGCCTCGATGGCGGCCATCAGCTGCGAGGTGGCCTTGGCCTTCTTGGCCGGCGGGCCATGGGGCTCGCCACCATCTCCGGCCTCGCGGCTCCGCTTGGCCTTACTCTTGCCTTTGGCCTTGGCCTTCTTCTTGGCCTTGGCCGCCGCCCGCGCTGCCGCCAGCCGGGCCACCAGCTCCTCGCGCTGAGCGTCGTCGGGATCGACAACGATGCCGTCGGCGTCGAGGTCAAAGCCAGCCGCACAGGTAAAGCATTGCCCGCCAGCGTCGACGTCCCGAAAGGCGCGAGCGGCAAAGACGTGTCCGCAGCGCAGAGCCACAAACTGCACTGAGCCGTCCATCGGCAGCTGTGTGATGGGGCAGAGGTGGACGACGGCATGCCCGCCGGCGTCGATGCTGGTTGGCGGCGGCTGGAGGACCACATCGCGCAGATCGCGGGTCTTGTGAATGTATGCCAACGCCTGCGGCAAGGTCTTGAGCAGCAGCGCCTCCAGCAGCGCCTCCTTGTTGAACAGCCGTCCGTACGGCCCAACCACTGCCGCGTGAGGATCGAGCGGCTGCTGCGAGAGCGCGCAAGTCGTCGCCACCGCCGCCGCTCGCGCCCGCTTGGCCGCCGCCGCCCGTGCTGCGCTCTCGGCCCCCCCACTCGCACCATCTCCTTCCGCTGCGGAATAGACCCGCCGTCGCCACCCATGCTGTCCGGCACCGAGTTGTGTGCGTGGGGTTGGGGGCGCGGCCGAGTCGCTCCTGGCGAAGCAGGCGGCCGCGTTTGAGTCGCGTTTGGGCCCAGGCGTGGTTGGCTGTGAGCTGGCGGCAGAGGGTGATCGGAGTTGGCTTCGGGGATAGCAGATGGGCAAAGGACGAGATGAGACAGAGTAGAGGCATAGAGAGGGGCGGATGGTGCGTGATGGCTGCAAAAGGGAGGAGGAGGGGGGGGAAGAGGGGCGGAGAAGAGAGAAAGCGACTGTGCGGAAATTGGAGATCAAAAGGATGTTTTGCCCTGCACTTGTTACACGGGGTGCGACGATGATGCGGATGACCAAGGTCTCGGAAAGCAGCCCCACCCATAGATGACCATCTGCTTCCATGTTGTACAAAGTGAGGATGCGACGGGTAAAGTATCGCAGCCGTGGGAGACGATGCTCTGACTGTGGTCCTCCGCCAGTGCGAGCTGAAATCGCAGCCGGCCAGTCGGTTGCCTCTACCGCGTCAGACTGCTGCCGCAAGTATCGATGCTTGTGTAATAAGCTCTCTCAACCGAGCCATTCTGCTTGCTGGCCAGTTTCGTCGTTGTAGTGAGCGTGCTCGCCATGCAGATGAGGATCCAGGCCCGGGCGAGCGGAGACATCGGCCCGACATCGGCCGTGACGCCATCACCCGCATCTCAGCCCGATGAGAGGAGCTACCACAGCGATGACTTGTTCTTCGAGGAGATCAAGACGAGAGAAGAGTACACCATGTGCATCATCCGCCCCCTACACCCCACGAGCCCCAGACCTCCCCCTACTCACCCACGGATGCACTGACCTGTCGGCGCAACTCTGTCGTGCGCGTCATCGATTGAGTTGATGAGCGGAAGCGGCAGCGTCAGCACATCGACTGGCTGAGGCTGGAGTGGATGACCGCGACCGTGGTGATGAGTATCTCTCTCTCACAAACTATCCTAGCTATGGTATGTGTTTGGTGCGGGAGGAAGCGGGGAGGAGGAGCCAGGAGAGGTCGGTTGGAGGAGGTGGGAGGGGGGTGGGAGGGGGTGAGGGTGAGTCATTGGCGGGAGGTGCTCACGGACGGGACGGAGTGTGGCCGGCATGTGGTGGACGGGAGCAGTTCCGTCTTGTTTCTGTGGGTGCTGCGAGTGCTGCTGCGCGGATGGCTGCTGTGGCGATGCCCGTGGGCGTGGGCGCGGCGGCTGGGATGCGGTCGCTGAGCGACGAGGTCAAGTCCACCATCGAGGAGGAGATCAAGAAGTCCAAGGTTGTGGTCTTTATGAAGGGCATTCCCGAGGCGCCGCGCTGTGGCTTCTCGGCCAACGTCGTTCAGATGCTGGATCTGGTTGGTGCCGGTGACTTTCACGCCGTCGACGTCCTCGAGGACGACGACATCCGCGAGGGCGTTAAGGAGTTCTCCGACTGGCCCACCATCCCGCAGGTCTACGTCGACGGCGCCTTTATCGGCGGGCGCGACATCGTGTACTCGATGTACCAGTCGGGCGAGTTGAAGACGATGATCGGCGGCGAAGAGACTGAGTCTGCATAAACAAACAATGCCTCGAGATGGCTGCCCAGCACCCCTTGCCGCGCCCCGCCCCTCCCCCGCGCCGACCCACGTCATTGGGACCAGGACCACGACTGGAGTCACTTGCCTCCCTCCCTCCCTCCCTCCCTCCCTCCCTCCCTCCCTCCCTCCCTCCCCCCTCCGCCACGGATGGCAAGCGAAGAGTACGACGGCCGTGCACTGGCTGCTGCACTGGCTGCAGAGCGCAAAGCCCATGCCGAGCTCCGCGAGTCGTCGCAGGCGCTTGTCACCTCGCTCCTGGCTCGGGTGGCGGCGGCCGAGGCTGGCGGCAGCGGGCTGGGCAGCGATGGCTTGGTCGGCGATGAGGCGGGTACTGGCAGGAACGAACACGATGCGGCGGCGTTGGCCGAGCTGGTCGTGGAGCGGACGTATCTGAAGGATGAGGTGGTGCGGCTGCGGGCGGCGGCGCTGGCGGCGGATGCTGATGCAAAGCTGCTGACGGCCCAGCTGGAGGAGCGGGTTGTTGCGCTTGCACGTGAGAAGGAGGATCTGGCGGCGGCGTCGGGCAAGGCGCTTGCCGCGGCCGCGGCCCGCATCGCCTCCCTCGAGGCCGCCGCTGCTGTCGCTCCACCAGAGCGCACGGATCTCCACCGCGCCGAGAACTCGATCGACAATCTCGAGGTTGCCCTGGCCAACGCCCTCCGCCAGCGCGACGAGGCCCGCACCACCGCTGCTGATCTCCATGTTGAGCTCCAGAACACGCGCGCGGCCCTGGCCGAGCAGACCGTCATCCGCGAGCGCCTAGAGCTGGAGCGTCTGTAATCTCACTCGCCACCCACCTGTGTGGGCTGCGCCAAGCCCAGCGATGTCATCCCCTCTTTACCTATACCCCCCCTATCAAAGTCGCACCTCATCCCGTCACGTCTCGCCCCCGATGCCGCCCTCCTCCTGCTCCCCGCTGCCGTCACGACCACGGCCGACCACTCCTCGCCAGACGATGAACGCACTGAGACTGGCGACTCGGCTGGCGATCAGACCGAGACCACGGATGGGGTGGATGGTGCCGGGCCTGGCTTTGTGGGGCGAACCGCGGGCGTGGGCGTCGAGCAGCGCAGGCCGGCGGCGGCGGCGTAGCATGACTGTGTCTGAGGCATATGCCGCGTTGGGCGTCCGCCACGGGGCAGCGTGGGACGAGGTCAAAGCCGCATACTTTGCCCTCGCCAAGACCCACCACCCGGACGTAGTGGACAAGGAGACTGTGAGCGCCGAGGAAGCCCACGCTACGTTCCTCCGCCTTGGTGAGGCCTACGCACTGCTCAAGGATGCAGCGGCGGGCGGGCCGGGCGGGCCGGGCGGAGGTGGGCCGGCCAGCTCCTCGAGCGGGAGCGCCGACGCGGGAGAGGCTGGCGGCTCGGGCCACGCGTGGTGGAATGTGTGGATGCGGCCGGGCGGCGGGCCGGGCGCGCTGCTGGGCAAGGACTCGATCCGGGTCACCAACGATCGGTGGGAGTCGCACATCCGCGGCTCCAAGCTCGCGTCCAAGCTCGATGCCTGGATCTTTGGCTCGGACGCCAACACGCTCATCGAGGAGCTGGTGCGTGAGCGCGATCTGGAGGCTGCGCTGGCAGTGTTTGAGCATCTCAAGGCGTCGCCGGACGCGAGTCCGCCGACTCAGTCGACGTACGCCATGCTCATTCGCGGCTGCACGCTCAACATGCGGCGGACCGGGCCCGACACCGACAACGAGGCCGACCCGTACACAGCCTCGCTGCTCGAGCTCGCCAAGGATCTGTTCAAGGAAATGCAGACAGGGCCCAAGTACAAGCCGTACGAGTCAACCATCCACGAGATGATCCGCGCTCACGGTAAGGCCGGCGACTTTGACGGCGCCTGGGAGCTCTTCGACAAGCTGCTGTTTGAGAAGTTTGTCCGCCCCACCAACCTCGTCTGCAACTCGATGCTCGAGATCTGCCTCACCACCGGCCACCACGCTGAGGCCCACAAGGTCTTGCTCATTCTTGACGGCGCCAAGTCGCTGCTCAAGCCGCTGTACAAGCCCGACTCGCGGACGTTTGGCCTTGCTCTTAAGAACTCGGTCGATGGCGGCTACTTTGCCACTGTCCCCGAGCAGCTGCGCATTCTCGCCTCTAACCACCTGTTCCCAGACCCGCCTACCTCGGAGCGCATCGTTACCGCCGCACTGACTGCCGGCGACGTCGACGCCGCCGACGCTATCCTCGCCGCCCTCGATGCGACGGGCGCGACTGCGCTCCCGCCGCCTGCCCTCGAGCGGGTTGCAGCCGCCCGCGCCCTCGCCCTCACCACTGGCTCTGAGGCCGGAGATGAGAAAACGGAGGTGTGACCCCAGCCAATCACAATGCTGTTGCTGTTTGCACTCGCTCACGTCGAGGGTGACATACGTTTAAGGATCTGTCATTCACCTGTGGTTGTTATATACCGCTCCCCAGTTGTAAGTAGAGTCGCCACCGCCCCAACTTCCTCTCCTACATTAGCTGCGGCCAGTGGCACAAACATGGGTCGAGAAAGAGAGTTATTCCGTTGTCGCCATAAAGAATTGACTTGAAGATCGTCCGAGCGCTTGGAAGACTTGTCATCATCCCCATGTCTGCTACCACCCATTGCCCCCCCCCCCCCTCCCCCCCCATCCCACACCTCGCTTCACGTACACTTGCAAGGGAATCGATATCACTGCTTCTTGCGGCAATCCGGGCAGAACCCTACACACCGACACAACACACACGGTAAGTTTGACCCCAACCCCCCCAACCTCAACCCCATCCCCCATTCCCAACGTACAGTCGCCAACAGGCGCAGATGTGAGCCCGACGCAGGCGTAGTGGAACCACTCCAGCTCGCAGTCGCGTTTTCGCAGCCGACCATCTCGCCATACGAGACGCGGCGGCAGTAGCAGTAAACCGGCTCGTTGGGATCGACAGCGACCCGAGCCTCATTGGCCGGGATGTCGTAGGCCTTGTTAGCCGCCGCCGGGGCCGGCTTGGGCGCCGGGGCAGCAGTAGCGGCGGCAGCCTCCGACTTGGACGCCGAGCGGCGGCGCTTCTCCGACGTTGCCGACGACTTTTGCCGCTTGTTGGCCCGCGATGAGTTCTGTGACCGCGACTGTGGCTTGCGCTTGCGGTTGGCGGACGCCCCGTGCACAATGGGGACCTCCAGCTCGGCCTCAAACCGCGCCAGGTCGTCGTCGAGACGGCGGATGTGCTTGTCGACCAGCTCGTACGTCTGCATAGCAATGTCGACCTTTTCGTCCGAGTACTTGAGACATGACTTGAGATGCGACAGAATCTTCTCCACCTTGTCCTTGTCCGGCTGCTTCGACGCCTCGTACGCCTTGCGTGCCTCGGGGTGGTACTGCTTCTGGAGCTCGTCGATCTCCTCCACAAGCTCGCTCGACCGCGAGTCCAGCTCCCGCATGAGCTTAAAGTTGCGTTCCAAGTCCGACGGCAGCGACGCCACGCCTACACACCACCCGCACCAAGTGCCAAGCCCATGACACAGCCAATGTCACCGTGAGTCACCACCACACGCCTGCTCTGCTCTGCCAGCCGAAGCGCTGCGGCCCATCCCAAAAAAATCGGCGCGAGGAACACCGCTGGCGCCAGCACAGCGACCGAGGGACGGGGGGAGAGGGGAGGGGCAGGAAGGGGAAAGGGGGGGGGGGGGGGGGGTTACGTACAGCCGAGGTAGTCCTCCAGGTATGAGCCCATGTTGTTGACGCCCCCGTGTACCAACACCCACGAGAGAGAGAGAGAGAGAGAGAGAGACAGGCGTGTCTTGGTTGAGCGGGCTCACCAATACATACGATTATCAATTGAGTGCGTCGGACTGTGTGTGAGGGCGGAGGGTCGCATCGGATGGACTCATTCTGTGTGACTTGTGGCTGCGAGGAGGAGACCGAGTCGCATTGTAGCAGGGCAGAGGGGGGAGGGGGGGGGAAAATGGGCTTGGGGGTGTGAGGTTGTGATGTATGTGTATGTACGCTATGGAGAGAGAGAGTGTGTGTGGGGAGTATGGGATTGATGATGGTCGTGTCATAAGCATGAGCGTGTGTGTGTGTTTGTGTCTGTGCCCGCGCGCGTGTGTGTGTGTGTGTGTGTGTGTGTGTGTGTGTGTGTTTGTGGAGGGCCTCGAGCGGACGCAGCAGACGGCAGGCGAAGCTGAGTTCAGCCCCGCCCGTAGCTGGTGGTTAGCAAGGTAGCGGGCAACACTTGACGTGGCTTGAGCAGGAGTCGGTGCCCAGCAACGACAACTTCTTCTCTGTAGTCGGTGCAGTCGGTGTAGTAGAGGGCGTACCGAAACAGAGGTGGGACCATGCCGAGAGTTGGTGTTGACGACGATGTGGTCGCGGCCGCCCGCCGCATGGAGGCGGAGGACGCCCGCGAGGAGGCTCAGGGCAACAAGTATAAGGCCTCGGGCTTTGTCTTTGGCAACGTCGACAAACGCGGCCATCTCGAGAAGGAGTTCTACGACACTGTACGTCTACTGTTTTAGGGACTTTGAGGGGGGAGGAGGGGGAGGGCGGCAAGGGTGTGAGCCCGACGAGGGAAAGCGAGCGAGTTTGTTGCTCTCGGCGGGCGGAACTTACCAACTTGCGGTCGCCCGTGTTCCGCGGGAATGGTGTGTCATGGTGTGTAGGATGTGCGGCGTGACCTTGACGAGATGCCTGATGACGTGGGCGACGCAGCGGTGGAGACCAAGGCCTCGCTCGGACTGAAGCCTGGACGCGGCGACGGCGCGGCCGGCGCGAGTTCGTCCATGGCGTCGCGGGCGTCGCGGGCGCCGGCAGAGCTCTCGCTCTCAGCTAGGTCGGCTGCCGAGAGGGCACAGTACAAGGAGGCTGCCCTGGGGCTTGTCCAAGGCAAGGCAGTCGGCGACGATTCAGACTCGGATGACTTTGACGACGACGATGATGACGACGATGACGACAATCAGAGCAGCGCTCGCGCACAAGGTGGCGCTGACGAAGACGACGAAGATTTCGATGATGATGACGAAGACGACGACGAGTCGTCAACGTCAGAGGGCTCGCTCTCGCCAGGTGCGGCCCAGTCGCAGGCCCAGGCCAAAGCGCAGTCGCGGTCGGCAACGCTAAGCAAGAGTGAGCGGACACTGGAGCAGGTCCAAGCACTGTTCCCCAAGTTTGAGCCGAACCGGATCCTCACCTTTACGGAGCTGTTTGCGGCACCCGAACCGCCGATTCCGGAGCGGGAGCGCGGGCTGCAGTTCGGCTCGCAGGTCGGGTTCTCGCGGACGCTGCACCCCGAGGTTGCGCCCGACGAGACGGCGCTGTTTGCGCGGCACCAACCCGGAGTCGAGACCGGGCCCGAGAAGCGCCGGCCGGCGCGCAAGTACAACGTGGCGCCGGAAGCGCCGCGGATCCCGTCGCCACCACCGCTGCCCGCGCCAGCAGAGAAGGCGTGGGCGGCGCCGCTCGCGGGCAGCAATATCCAGGCCCCTAGCCTTGCGGCGCCTGCCGCAGCCGACGCGCCGGGCATCGAGCTCGCAGAGTGGGAGTCAGGCGTGCTGTACGACGACGAGGATCTGGCGCGGACGTCGCCGATTCTGGGTGCGTCTCGAGTCTCGGGCTACTCTCGGCGAGACAACCTGGCGTCGTACTACAATCCCGAAGTGGAGCTCGGAAATTGGGATGCCGCAGTGGTGTACGATGACGCGCCCAACGCCGAGCAGCTGGCGGCAACGTCGCTGGTGGTTGACATTAACGACCCGTACATGGTGCTTGGCGAGGCCGGATCCGAGTCGTACTCCGAGTCGGACTCGGACGACGAAGCGGCAGCGGCAGAAGCGGCAGCGGCAGCGGCAGCAGCGGCAGCGGCGCAGGAAGAAGAGGAGGAAGACGAGGAAGAAGAAGAAGACGACGACGACGACGAAGTGGAAGAGGGCGCCGAGGGCGATGCACCGCGCAAGCGGCGGCGCAAGCGGCGCGGTAAGGAGTTTGCGCCGCCGACGCATCGGGTGACGCGGCGGCGGACCGTGACGGTGGCACATCGCAGAGCCGGTGGGTCGGGCGCATCTGACGCAGACGGGGTGGAAGCAATGCGGGTGGTGACGAGGCCGCTTCGTGGCTTTAACCTCTCGTACGACCCGTACTACGCGACGGCGATTCGGGCGGACGCGTCGAAGCGCAAGGCGACGCTGCGGACGGTGATCAAGCACGCCAAGCCGGCGACAGAGCTCCACCCCGCGCTGTACCCAACGCAGCTGACGCCCGAGGGCATGCGGCACTTCCACCGGCCGCGGCTGCTGTTCTTCAACCCGCGGCACCGCAACTTTACGCTCAACTTGCCCAAGACGCGCAACCGCGACGTGGACATCGACGACGTGGACTACGATCCGGCGGAGCCGTTTGCCACTCGGCGCGACCTCTCGCACACCATCGACGAGGGCCACATGATTGCGCTCGAGCACGTGGACGAGATGCCACTGCTGCTGACCGGGGTGGGGATGGCGTCCGAGGTTGTGTCATACTACCGCAAGCGGAGCAAGGACGACGTGCGGCCGGCCGAGGCGGTGACGGAGCTTGGAGTGCCGCTCTCACTCGACCCGCGCGAGCCACTGCCGATCTACGGCGGAGCGCTCAAGCGCGGCGAGAGCATGCTCTTGCTGTCGAACAACTTGTTCAAGGCGCCGATTGCCAAGCAGCAGCAGGCGTACAAGAACGACTTTCTGGTCATGAGGCCGCGGTCGAAGAAGTTCCGCGGGCGGATGTTCATCCGCGAAATGCCGCAGATGTACTGCATCGGGCAGATCCAGCCGCAGATCATCATTCCGGGGCCCAACTCGAAGCCATACCTTTCACTGGTCCGCAAGCGGCTCTCGCTCTTTGTGCTCCGGCTGTTCCAGGAGGACAAGGACCGGATCTTCAAGCTCTCTGACGTGGGCAAGTACTTTCCGCAGCACGCCGAGTCGACGCTCCGCAAGCGGCTCCGCGACGTGGCCAACCTCAAGCGCGGCGAGGACGGCGACAACTACTGGCACATCCGCGACGACATCCGGAGGCGGTTCCCGGCCGAGGAGCATTTGCTGCAGATGCTGACACCCGAGGAGATCTGCGTGTACCTGGCCATCGAGCGCGGACAGCAGGTGCTCAAGGACGTCAAGGACGTGTTTGCCGGCACCTCGCGCAACTACTTTGCCGACAACGAGACTAAGATTGCGCCGTGGACGCGGACCAAGAACTTTGCCGCGGCGCGCGAGCACCGAGTGTATCTCGACCTCGACGCGAGCGTCGGTGACCCACTCGGCTTCAACGCTGGAATTCCGTTTATCAAGTGGTCGAAGAAAATGCCTGCACGCGCGCTGGTGCTCGAGACAGCGAACGTGACAGACCTTCGTAACTCGGAGGTGCGGCTGTCAAAGCAGAAGATCGCGACGCTGACGGCGTTCCGCAAGTACATGAAGCGCTTAGAGGGCCGGTTCTCGACCCAGGTTGCGCTCATCTCAACGCCAACACCGCCCAAGTACGTGCCGCCAAAGAACGTGGAGGACAACGAGTGGGCGGTGTTCCCGGACGAGGTGGTGGAGATTATTGCGCCGCTCGAAGTGTACCACGCCCGCAAGCGGCACAAGAACCTCGCGGGGCGGTCTGTGGCACGCACGACGGTGCGGCCGACGTCCGAGGCCGAGGCGGCACGCGAGCGTGCGCGTGCGCGCGAGGCTGCCGAGGACGACGCGGCCGAGGCCGCAGCAGTGGCCAGCCGCGACACGTCGGCCGAGGCTGTGCAGGCGCGGGCTGCAGCGCGGGCGCAGGAGGCGCGGGCGTCGAGCAAGCAGCGCCGGTACTACATCAAGATCACGACGCCGTCAGGCAAGGTGGTGATGATTAAGGACGGCGCGACGGTGCAGCACTACGTTTCTCGGAAGAAGGGCAAGCGCGGATCCGAGGTCGGCGAGGAACGATTCCACAACTCGAAGGACGAGGCGGAGAAGGCAGCCAAGCTCAAGGTGATCGAGAAGCGCAACCGCGAGGCACTGCGGAAGAAGGTCGCCATGGGCCTCGACAACTCGGACACGGTGCTCGGCCAGCGGACTGCGGCAACGATGGTGTGTGGCGCGTGCGGCAACATCGGCCACATGAAGACCAACCGCAACTGCCCCAAGTACGTCGAGAGCCGCAAGCGGCGACTGGCGCGGCGGTCGGGCAAGGGCGGGCGCGAAGCCAAGGCCAAGAACCCGATGCTCCTCACGCTCCGTGTCAACGGCGACGATGACGACGGCGAGATCAAGCCGAAGCGGCGGCGTGGGCGTCCGCCCGCAAAGCGCGGCGGGCGGCCAGCGCAGGCCGGCGCGCGCAAGAAAAAGGTCAAGAAGGAGTTTGACCTCGACGCCGAGAAGAAGAGCAACCGCGGCGGCCGACGCGGCGGCAAGGACGAGGCTGCACCGCTCAAGGCCATGAACCGTATCTTCAAGTCGATCGCCGACGCCATGAAGTCGCGCGACCAGACGTACCAGATTTTCTGGTACCCGGTGACCGACGATGTGGCGCCGGGCTACTCGGCGGCCATTTCGGAGCCGATCTGCCTCACCGAGATCCGCGACAAGGCCAACGCGTGCGAGTACACCACCCGGGCGCTGTTTGAGCGCGACGTCACCCTGTTGCATATCAACGCCAGCAAGTACAACGGTCCGGTCTCGGACATCACCCAGCTCGCCTCTGACCTCCGCGAGCTCGCCTTTGCCCGCATCGAAAAGTGCAAGCTCAAGATCGACCGGCTTGAGATCGAGGCCATGCCCTTTGTCCAGGCGCGGCTCGTCCGGAAGCAGATGGCAGCCATGGCAGCCCAGCAAGCACAGGCGATGGCGCAGGCCGCTGGCTCGGGCTCGGGCTCGGGCTCGGGCTACGGCTCGTACTATGACGAGTATGACGACGAGGGAAGCGGCGATATGAGCGAGAGTGAGTAGTTCGCCACGGTCGCTCATCCTTAAAGTGATGAACACAGTTACATGGGAGTCTTTTCACTCTCATCAGCAAGCTGGCTGGAGTAGCCGCCGATGAGCAGTTGAATTGGGTTGTCGCTTTGACGCCGTCACTTGACGCGTGAGCAGCGTGCGGGAGCCATGGCATACCCGAGCGTGCTGGAGAGGTACTACACAGAGAGACAGACCGAGTGCACGACGTATGTTTGCGAGCATGTCAACGGGTTGCGGGTGGTGCGCTTGGCCGAGAGCCATCCCGCGCTGGCGGCCGGCCCGCCTGCCAGGATCGAGTATGCCAAGCCACTGCTCGACGCCGTCCCACTGCCCGAGGATGGGAGCGGGGGGGCGGGGCGGTCTGGGCGGCGGAGTCGGAAGGGACGAAAGAAGAAGGGCCAGCAAGGAAGCGTGCCAGAGCGGGACCCGTTTGCGGTGAAGGCAGGCGGCGTGGTGGCCAAGGTGACCGATGCAACCGGCGTCGAGCACGACGTCGTCCTCGGCGAGGCCGGCTCGGTTCTCGAGATCAACACATGCTTGGCGAGTGCGCCCCAGCTGCTAGCCGATGTAGCATCTGGTCGCGGCTGGGTGGTAATTCTCACGCCCGGCACCGGTGGTGATCCGACTCGGAAGCGCAAGCACTCGGCAGCAGGCGTCGTCGAGGTCGACTGATGCGTGCTGACGACTGGCTGCACGGGGAGCATAGCTGTGCTGCGCATGCCAAGCACCGTGCCGGTTGGCACGATGTGTGGGCACTGGAAGACAGCGAAGTTCACGCGAGGAAACCTGTCACGCTGTCGGCTTGTTTGCGCCGATGTTGCGAGACTTGGAACTGTGTCGGATCAGCTGTCGCATCAGTTGAGACTAGCGTGTATCGACCCCAACCGCAAACAGAACCGTCATCAGCGCAAGCGAGCTGGACTCTCCAGCCAGCGACATGCTTGGCACGAGGTGATTGAACATAGTCGCCATCACGGCTGCATCCACTTCCAGCTGTAGCGACGAGCTGGTGCGGTACGTACAGACGAACACCAGCGAGAGTACATATACCATGAGCACAGCGAGCAACATCGGGCTCCCTCAGAGCCGCACGGGAGGATCAATGTAGAGATAGCCACGCCCAACCGCCGCACTGGTACCACGTCCTCGCACCACCCCGCTCGGTCCACAACGCCGGAAAATCGTAAGGCTTACGCTGAGCGCGCCGCATCACCGGCAGCCACCGTGAGCCGCACCTGCATTGCCACGACGGCAGCCATGCTGGCGAGGAGGAACCACCGCTAGTCCAGCAACCACAGCCAGCTCGGCGTGCTTCCCGCACCAGCACATGTGCCACGGCGCCGACGCCAGATAGCTTGCGCATGGGCAGGAGACCCGCTCCGACACGCACGTGTACAAAGTTTGTGCCTTGGCCACTCGCCGAAATTTCAGCATCACACGCTGCGGGACTGAAGCCGCCACCTGCGGACCGGACCGACCGCCGACAGCTACGAAGACGGCTACTGCCAGCGAATGCGCGACGCACTGGAGAACGGCCACGCCAGAACTACAGCCGTAACCGGTGCCGCCGTCGCCTCGACAAACAGAGCGGACCTTTAGCGGCGGCGCCACGTGCTGGGTGCGTGGGTCGCGACTGGCTCATATTTTCGCTGGAATCGCGTGGCAACCTCTGGGCACGACACACCCACCCACCCCACTCATTCTGACTGCGAGCGTAATCATGAGCTACAAAGCACGCGAAACTGAGATGACGCGTCCTTCCGTGTCCGGTTTCGGGTTGGAGTACTGGTGCTGCTGCTGTGCGTCGTTGTCGAGGGCGTGGCCGGTGCGAGTGGTGGCGGACACACGCCGTTTCCGCGACCAGACATTCCGCAGTGTCGGGCCGAGATGGCGGCGGTGGAGCACGAGGTGAGCACTGCAGCGAATGGTCCGTGGTCTTTGATTGCGGTTGACATGGATGGAGATGAAGATTTGGATCTGGTGTCGGCGTCGGCGTATGACGACAAGATTGCGTGGTACGAGAACACCGACGGGGTCGGGACCTTTGGGCCGCAGCAAGTGGTGAGCACGGCTGCAGACAGTGCGCGGTCTGTGATTGCGGCTGACATCGATGGAGATGGCGATCTGGACCTGGCGTCGGCGTCGGAGAGCGACGACAAGATTGCGTGGTACGAGAACACCGACGGGCTCGGGACCTTTGGGCCGCAGCAAGTGGTGAGCACTGCAGCGAACGGTGCGCAGTCTGTGATTGCGGCTGACATCGATGGAGATGGCGATATGGACTTGGCGTCGGCGTCACTCGACGACGACAAGATTGCGTGGTACGAGAACACCGACGGATTCGGGACCTTTGGGCCGCAACAAGTGGTGAGCACTGCAGCGGACCGTGCGCGGTCTGTGATTGCGGCTGACATCGATGGAGATGGAGATATGGACCTGGCGTCGGCGTCGGAGCTCGACAGCAAGATTTCGTGGTACGAGAACACCGACGGGGCCGGGACCTTTGGGCCGCAGCAAGTGGTGAGCACTGCAGCGAACGGTGCAAAGTCTGTGGTTGCGGCTGACATCGATGGAGATGGCGATCTGGACCTGGCGTCGGCGTCGTCGAGCGACGACAAGATTGCGTGGTACGAGAACACCGACGGGGCCGGGAGTTTCGGACCGCAGCAAGTGGTGAGCACTGCAGCAGACGGTGCACAGTCGGTGATTGCGGCTGACATCGATGGAGATGGCGATCTGGACCTGGCGTCGGCGTCGCACGCCGACGACAAGATTGCGTGGTACGAGAACACCGACGGCTCTGGGAGTTTTGGACCGCAGCAAGTGGTTAGCACCGCAGCAGACTTTGGTCAGTCTGTGATTGCGGCTGATATTGATGGAGATGATGATCTGGACCTGGCGTCGTCGTCGGTGCTCGACAACAAGATTTCGTGGTACGAGAACACCAATCAGACTGCGGCGTTCGGGCCGCAGCAAGTGGTGAGCACTGCAGCGGTCTATGCGTCGTCCGTGATTGCGGCTGACATTGATGGAGATGGCGATCTGGACCTGGCGTCGGCGTCGGCGTATGACAACAAGATTGCGTGGTACGAGAACACCGACGGGGCCGGGAGCTTTGGGCCGCAGCAAGTTGTGAGCACTGCAGCGAACGGTGCGCGGTCTGTGATTGCGGCTGACATCGATGGAGATGGCGATCTGGACCTGGCGTCAGCTTACTCGAACACCATTGCGTGGTACGAGAACACCGACGGGGCCGGGAGTTTTGGGCCGCAGCAAGTGGTGAGCACGACAACGACCCTTGCGGTGTCTGTATTTGCGGCCGACATTGATGGAGATGGCGATATGGACCTGGCGTCGGCATCGAGTTCTCTCGACCAGATTGTGTGGTTCGAGAACACCGACGGCGCGGGGACCTTTGGACCGCAGCAAGTGGTAAGCACGGCTGCGGACGGTGCGGCGTCTGTGATTGCGGCTGACATTGATGGAGATGGCGATCTGGACCTGGCGTCGGCGTCGCAGGTCGACGACAAGATTGCGTGGTACGAGAACACCGACGGATTCGGGACCTTTGGGCCGCAGCAAGTGGTGAGCACAGCAGCGACCAGTGCGCGGTCTGTGATTGCGGCTGACATGGATGGAGATGGCGATCTGGACCTGGCGTCGGCATCGTTCAACGACGACAAGATTGCGTGGTACGAGAACACCGACGGGCTCGGGACCTTTGGGCCGCAGCAAGTGGTGAGCACTGCAGCGAACGGTGCAAAGTTTGTGGTTGCGGCTGACATCGATGGAGATGGCGATATGGACCTGGCGTCGGCGTCGCACGCCGACGACAAGATTGCGTGGTATTCCTGTTTCTCGCGTGGACCGTTCCACGCTTACGCAGCAACCACTCATTCTCTCGACACTTCGTGCATGTCGTACAACTCGCCCGCCGCCTGCCTCTCATCGGCACTCACCCGCCTCTCACGCTGCATGCGCGATACCCTGCTCCTTCCACCAGGCCGATACTCTTGCTTTCGCGACAAGCACCTGCACATGTTTGATAAGAGCATCATTCTCGCCTCCACCGAGTCTGGAACCGCCACCTTTGCCTGCAATGGCAACGCGCTCTTCCGTCTCACCTCCACTTCTAACTCCTACACCGAGCTTGATCTGGTAGGCCTCCGACTCGAGAACCTCGGCAACAGCCACGCCACGCCAATCGTCGGCTCAAGTGGGTTGCGTGTTGAGGATGGCAACTCCGTCCTTCGCCTCCGCAATGTCACTATTGACGGCGGATCGTCGCCTTCAACCAGCAACCAACTGGCCGGTGGTCGTGGTGGCTGTTTACTTGTGACGGATGGTGCAAAAGTCGAAATCGTCAACTCGACCCTGACTCGCTGCACAGCTGGTAGTGACGGTGGCGCTGTGGCCCTAATGGATTCAGGAAGTGAGCTAGTGCTCCAGAGCTCTCGCATCGAATCATCAACTGCCAGCAACGACGGTGGCGCCGTGTGGGCAGGTGCCGATACTATTGTTGCCATCGCGGATGGATCGAGCCTATCGGCAAACTCTGCTGGCAGCAGTGGCGGCGGACTATCCGCTTCCGACAACACCCACATTGTGCTCATGGACTGTTCTCTGGACAGCAACACCGCTGGCGGTCTCGGCGGTGGCCTCTTTCTCTCTCCGTTCACCATCGCCAACGTGTCGACGTCTGCGATCACCGGCAACACCGCCAGCTTTGGCGGCGGCCTTGCTGTATCCTCCGACCCCACATCGACCGCCGGCAAGTTCTCCGTCGTCGACATTCCTACCGCATCCCCTCTAGCGCCCACTTCTTCGCATGCCCTCATGCTTGACGACGTCACGGTCACTGCCAACACCGCATCGCGGGTCGGCGGCGGCTTCTTTGTGTGCGGGGCCCAAGTCACTGTCTCTGGTCACTCGGCCTGGTCCTCCAACGCCGCCCTCTGGTCGCCCACAGCGCGCTCATCCGCCGATGCGTTCGAGTGTGGCGGCGGGCCGTGGCTCGACACCAGCGCGGCTCAACTCGACCTAGGCTCACCTGATATCCAAGGCCCACCCGCCACTCTCGCCTGGGCCGTCGAGCCCACTGCAGTCGTTGAGGCCGGAGGCGTCGTCACCGGCGCGGTCCGCGTCTACGACGCTTTTGGTCGCAATGTGGTCTACCGAACCACCATTGCACAGACCATCTACGCAGCGTCGCCGGCTCTACCACCGCTTGGTCTGCCCGACATCCTGCTCGAGTCACCCAACGTGGCACTGCCTTCGGCCACGCTTTCCATCGTCGATGGCGCCCTCGTACCTGCCACCGTGACGTTCTCGGTCTCTCTCGTCACCGACGGCTCCGGCCGCGGCCTTCCGGTGCCGCCACTTCCAGGCTCGGTCGACATTGTCCCATGTGGACTCGGCCGCGGCGGCGTGACCGAAGACGACGTCACCACCTGCGCGCCCTGCCTCGATGGCACCGAGTCGCTGGAGGTTTCGCTGGCCCCATGTACGGCCCAGTCTTCTTGTCCGACCAACACCCTCCGGCTTGCAGCCAACACAACCAACGAGCCATGTGTGTGCGTGCCCGGCTTCTACACCCCATCGGGCCAGTTCAACGAGCCTTGCATCGCATGCCCATCCGGAGGCCTCTGCACGGGTGGCACAGCTCGACCTGTGGCCGGCCCGGGCTTCTTCCCGGACGAGAGCGATCCAACGCTCTTCCTCGCCTGTCCCAACCCCGATGCATGTGCCGGCCAAGGCCGATGCCAGGCCGGATACGGCGACCGGCTGTGCGCGCAGTGCCTGCCCGACTACTATCGGCTCCGTGGAAAGTGTTACGCATGCAAGGCTGGCGTCAATACAATCGTCACGGTGCTTTTGGTGCTTGCGGCGCTTGTTGTTGCGGCTGCGCTGGTGAGCTTCAGCCTGGCCGAGGCGGTGCGGTACAAGTTTGCCGCCGCCATGATCGGGCTCAACGCTCTGCAAATATCCGCCCTCTACGGGAGGCTCGAGCTCGACTGGGGTCCCGTCGCCGCGGTCTATTTTGACATCACGTCGTTTGTCAACCTCAACCTCGAGCTCACCAGCCCCGAGTGCAGCCTGGCCTCAGGCGCCGACGCTTGGGTGATCAAACTGGTGTTGACGCTAGTCCTGCCAGTCCTAGCTGCGGCTGCTATCGTGGTCGTCGGCTGCGGGTTTGCTGCCGGCATCACGATCAAGCTTCGGCCGGTCGCAAGCTACAGCCTGGGCCAGCTTGCCGGCGCATGCAAGCGCGCATGGTTTCAGAGCTTGGTCCTTCTTTACCTGCCGCTCACCGGCGCTGCGTTCTCAGTCTTTGGGTGTCGGCGCGATGAGGCAGGGAGGTGGGTGCTCGACGCCGATCCGGTGCGGAGCTGCTACAACTCGGCCTGGTGGACCGGGCTGTTCCCCATTGGACTTGCTGGCATCGTCGTGTATGCCGTCGCCATTCCTGGGTGCGTGGTGTGGGTGCTGCGCCGTGCGCGCGATCGCATGGAGGCGACAACCTTTGCAGCGCGATACGGGTTTCTGGTCGGTCGTTTTACTAGTTCGCACTGGTGGTTCGAAGCTGCCATCATGGCCCGCAAGCTCATGGTGGTCATGTGCATGACGTTCTTTTTCACTGACGAAGGCAAGGCCAACGGCACGGTGTTTGCGCTGGTGGGCTCATTCGCCCAGCTCATCTATGCGCAGCCGTACGGTCGCTCCTTCCACAACGCACTAGCAGTGACTGTGCTAGCGGCGACCATGTCTGTGCTCTACGCCGGCACGTTTGATGACTACACGCTGCGGATGGTCGGAGTGGTCGTCGGAGTGGTGGCCACCATGGCCGCTATTGTCATCGGCAACGGCATCGATTTGTGGCTCATTGCGCGGCACGAGCGGCAAGCTGACGAAGAGTACTTTCAGAGCGGCGTATCTGATTTTGCTACTAGCGCTGCTACGCCGGTGGGCGGAGGCAGCTTTGGTAACGATGTCGAGTTGGACAAGGGTAGGCTTGGATCGGACGAGCCCGTCAATAGCCACTCCATCGAGATGTTCTCCGTCGGAGGCGAAGCCGATGACTCGATCTCGTTGGGGCTACATTCAGCAAACGCGCCATCAATGTACTCCATTGATTAAATATGAATGCGTTGTCAGTCACCGAACCCACAAGTGTTCGATTCGGCTGTGGGCGGAGGGAGTGGCGGGTACGGCGAATGAGCCTGAAGATTGATGTGGGTGGGCGAATTGAAGAAGATGCAATGGTGTGGGTGTGGGGGATGACGGTGGAGGGGCTTGGGCGGCGAGGGCGAGGAGGACGGACGGGATTGGATTGAGATGGACGTCGATGGAGACGAGAGCTTGGGATTGAAAGACGAGACAGACCACTGCACTCTAGTCCACCACTGCATTGCCTATCGCTAGTCCTTGACCTCTCTTGCTCTTCCTCGTCTTGGCCAGCCCGGTGGCTTCGTCGTCTGGCACGGTGATCGGCAGCAGGGGCGGCTGGCGATGAGCAGGCCGGCGGGGGCTGTGATGGGCAAGGCCGGCGGAGGGAGGGGAGGAGTGGGTTGGAGGGCAGAATGGTAGGCATTGCCATTGATATAGCTATCCGTATGCATCGCCTCCAATGCCCTGTCGATGGCTAGCTTGCCCTCGGTGGTGCCGGAGGTGGTCGGTCGGCGGCGGGCGGCGGTCGGCGGCGAGCAGCCGGCGGTCGGCAGCGATGCTGCTGATGTGCGTATCGGCGCACGTGAAGTGGGTGGCTATATTTGCAGGGGTAGTGAGTATGTGTGGTGTGGGTGTGGTGGTTGTGGGTGGACAGGTTGGGGAGTGGGGGTCGGAGATGGGCCCGGGGAGGAGGGGTCAGCAGCATCGAAGGGACACAGGGCCAACAACTTGGGCCCGAGCCGGCAGAACTCGGATTCTGGAATACTGCAGCTGTGGATAGGAGACTGTGCGAGGGGATAGTGTGTGTATGTAGTAGGGTAGTAATGAAATCAGATTGGCCATATCTTGCAATGAGTGTGGTGGGGGTTGTGTGCGGGGTCGGGCGGTTGAGGACGTGCTCAACCACCTAGGGCAAACAAGTCGACGCGAAAGTGAGCCGAGGAAGATGGGTATGGATGACAGCGATATTGATACTGGTGATAGTGTGGCGTGAGTGATGACCTTGAGTGTGGTCGCGGGTGGCGTAGCGGGTAGTGAGAAGGAGCTAGGTGGTGATGAATGTGGGCTGATCGGACGAGCGGGCGACGGCTGGCGGCTGGTGGTCGGCGAGGCAGGGGCAGCAGAGGGAGCTGGGTCGGGGCTGGGTGGCTTGAGATTGCTGTTGGTTGGTGGACATGCAGTATGGCATGTGATGGTTAAGGGGAATGGGTGTCGAGGTCGGGAATGAGGATGCGGGTGAGCTGGAGCGAGGAGACGAGGAGGACGAGGAGGAAGAGGAAGCCGAGTGCGCGATGGGATGGTGGGGGGTATGACCATGGCACGGTGGTGGGAGTTGTGGCTGCCATGATAGTGATGGTAGTGGAGTAGGGGGTGGGGTGGTCGTTTGTGGTGACGGGTGGTAATGAGTATGGTAGGGGGGATGAGGGGGTCGTCACGTGGGTGACGGGACGGGCGAAGCGGTGCTGGGTATGGCGATTGGGCTTGAGCATTGATGTGGGCGAGTTGGATGAGGATGATGGGTGGGTGTGGAGTGTGGGCAATGAGGGTGAAGGGGCTTGGGCGGCATGGGCGAGGAGGGCCGACGGGATTTGATTGATGGACGTCGATGGAGACGATGGCTTGGGAATGCGGGGAAGGCAGACCACTACACTCTAGCCCACCACTGCATTAGATATCGTTTGCCCTTGCCCTCTCTTGTTCTTCCTTGTCTTGGCCAGCCCGGTGGCCTCGTCGTCTGGCTCGGTGATCGGCGGCAGGGGCGGCGGGCGATGAGCAGGCCGGCGGGGGCCGTGATGGGCAAGACTGGAGGATGGAGGGGGGACTGGGTTGGAGGGCGCACTGGTAGGCATTGCCATTGATATAGCTATCCGTATGCATCGCCTCCGATGCCCTGTCGATGGCTAGCTTGCTCTTGGTGGTGCCGGAGGTGGTCGGTCGGCGCGGGCGGCGGTCGGCGGTGAGCAGCCGGCGGCCGGCAGCGATGCTGTTGACGGGTTGGTGTCGGCTGATGTGAATATCGGCGCACGTGAAGTGGATGGCTATGTTTGCCAGGATGGTGCGTACGTGTGGAGTGGGTGTGATGGTTGTGGGTGTGATGGTGGGGAGTGGGGGTCGGAGATGGGCCCGGGGAGGAGGGGTCAGCAGCATCGAAGGGACACCAGGACAACAAGCTGGGCCTGAGCCGGCAGAACTCGGATTCCGGAATACAGCAGCTGTGGTTTGGAGATTGTGCAAGGGGGGAGGGTGGGCGTGTAGTAGAGTAGTAGTGAAATCAGATTGGGTATATCTTGCAATGAGGTTGGTGGGGGCATGTGCGGGGTCGGGCGGTCGAGGACGTGCTCAACCACCTAGGCAAACAAGTCGACGCGGAAATGAGCCGAGGAAGATGGGTGTCAATGACAGCGATACTGATACTGGTGATAGTGTATGGCGAGTGATGACCTTGGGTGTGGTCGCGGGTTGTGTAGCTGGTAG